GTGTTTGGGTGTGTGTGTGTGTGTGTGTGTGTGTGTGTGTGTGTGTGTGTGTGTGTGTGTGTGTGTGTGTGTGTGTGTGTGAGATAATGAGGTTGACAGTATCACTCACTACGTCGTGCTACGACGTAGTGGCGAGAATGGGAAGTGGTATCTCCCTGCCTCTTCCTGCCGCGCTCGAGAACGCCGCTCGCAACCTACGGACGCGCACACGCATCTCTTGACGCCACGCGGCGGTGTGACTGCCAGTGGAAAAGAAAAAGTCATTAGTCATACGAGTTTCTGCAGGGTTCCAACTCTCGACGGGTGGTTTTCCTGCGTCCCCTGGGATGCGTATAAAAAAAGGGCCGGCGACATGTCGATTGTCACTTCCAGAAAAACGTACAAACTTCTTACCACCTGCTCGCTGCTGCCGCGTACTCGGACGTCAACATGAAACTTGTTGTTGTGTGCCTTCTCGCAGTTTGTTGCGCTTCTTTCGCCAGCGCCACCGGTGTGACACTGGAGAGGAGAAAACTGCTTGAAGTCGTGAAGCAACTCGGCGATGTCAAAGACTCGCTAGAGGTAAGCGAGCCTGTTTGGCAGACATTTTTGACAATCAGTTTACGTATTTATATATTATGAGGTCAAGGGTTAGTTCAATTTGTTTTCCCTGGGATCCAAAAAAAATGTAAGCTGTTTTTTTGTTCTTGTTTGTTTTGTTTTGTTTTTTTCCCTCCAGTTCTCATCATTTGCTAATTTAGCATTTCGCGAATCGTTTCTCGCAAATTAATATACCGTATGTACAGAGTGCCAGTAATTTTATCACGTGTACTGAAGACATTGTTTCCTGCAGCGCAGAGAGCTGCTGGTGAACACGCCGCCGCAGAATATTGAGGTAAGTGTTACTATTGCATGTTATTATTTCTTGGGGTCGCGGCTGCATTAAAAATAATTGCGGTCGGTTAGTCAGCATTACGCTCGCAACTTAAGCGAGTGAGTAGGAGAAGCTCGATTGATGTGTCATGCAACCAACACATCTCGTCAAGTCAAAACAAACCAAACAATGAAATGTAGACACTTGGGAATTATTTTGCCCTCCTCAAAGGTCGTTTGTAATGAGAATTAATTAATGTCAATGTAGCAAAATATGACTATTAAAAAAAAAAAAGGCAACCATATTTGCAAGTGCATTTTTTAATTAGGACGATTGCATTGTTGTTAAAATGGATAAAGATGATCGACACAATTATTGGTTTTGATTTTTGGAACTAGTGGGATTATTAATCTTAAAAAATACTTTCATATGAATTTGACCACACAGACAATTTTGATACCTTTATATGTTCTCGTTTCATGATTACTATTTTACTTTGTCCAAGATAAAAAAACCCATTCTTCTTTATATTATTTGTGTTTTCATTAAACCTTGACTTGAACAAAATGAAAACGCTAAAATATGACACAAATGCAATTTAGTACATTTCCCATGATGAGAAAATGTACATTTTTTATTCAACTTTGATTTTCATGAAAGACATCACAATATTGGGACAGATGTATATTCGTTTTGAATTTCTATGTTACTTTTTTCTTTTAACCTTTATTTAAACTTAAAAAGTAACAATGCAACCACTAAAATGTTGGCACAAACATATATTGTTCTATTTGTTGTCTATTTTTCTTGTTTATATTTTAATTGAGTGAGGATTGAGTGCAACTTTTCTGCGTGGAAATGTTTATGTATTTTTTGGTAAACGTTCCCATTTTATTGAGCGATTCGCCTTCAGTTGATCTGGAGAAAAACTCCAGGTAAATAATGACATATTTCTTTCAAATTTACTTTTATTCGGCTAAAGAAAACGTGAACGATCATCCTTAGTTTGATAATACTCATGAAACCATCCCATAATCAACCTGAAGAACTTGCTAAATCACAACTGACAACAATTTTAAAAAGTTCAAAGCACGACTTGTCATGCTTCTTCTCGTCAGACGTCAAGTTGCTTCCTGTTTTTTTTTTCTCGTTTTCACATTGAGGAAAACAAACCTTGCTCACTGCTTCAAAATGTGATGAGTAGGCAAAAGTGCTGTCATCTAGATTTACTAACAAACATACTTATTCTGATGATTTTTTTTTTTTTTTTTCCCCCTAGGACTGTTGCTGTCTCTCAGCATTACGATGCTTCCGGGCAAGCTTGCATGTGCAGTTCAACGTGACAGAAAGAAAACAAGACAAACTTTACCGAAGCCTCAAGCACCCCATCACTGTAAGTACAAATCTAAAAAGTAATTAGCATTCCGTGGCAGAGTAACCGATGCACTAATGATTAAAAAACATTTTTTTTTCAACTGTCTTCCAGGAGAGGGCTCTGGACTTTTGCAAAACAGGAAATGCTGTGGTAAGGGAGCCGTTTTCGTCCTCTGCTTTTAATGGTTCTCAGTAAACAAGTCTGTCATATTTGATGAAGTTAAAGAAGTCTACTTAAATGTGTCTTTTAGTCCACCTGCGAAACGTGTGATTCACAACCGAAGGCTACCGCTCCAGAATTCGTCAAAAGACTGGAGTCCCTCATTCAAAGGGTAAGTGATTGCCTTTCAAGTAAAATCACTCTTTACCCTGGGGGGTGGGGAGGGGAATAATAAAAACGCATGGGCACATCGATACACAAACGTCAATGGCTCATTACCTGAGCTGACAAAAGCCAACCACACTCACGTTTGCTGATGCACATGTCATTCACTCCGTCAGGTGTGGCTTTTAAAAGCCATTCACACTTAAAGTCACAGATACCATTCGGGATAGCTAACCAAGACGGTACTTTTTTTGATATGGACCGATTTGGGTCTCAGCCATCTGTGCGGGGAGCCAGACCACGTCCCAACTACGGTAGATATACACACCGTACATTGTGTTTTACAACAATGCATACCGGGAACCGTATTTCTAATTTCATATGAGTGAAATAGCGAAAAATTGTGGCTGAAATGTAGCAAACATGATGTACCGTGTCGCGTATGTTCAAATGATGAATTTGATACCAAACATTCACATCCTCTTCCAACTGTCGTGTCCCCCCACCCCCCGCTTTGGCCCAAGCTGGGTTAAAAGTCATGGCTGGGCATGTGGCAGGCCTTGCATTCTTGAAAAGCAACTGCACAAGGAACGAAGATAACGCTCATCCAATTATTTATCTTCATTACTACTAATAGTTATAATGTTTCATCCCCCTTTCTTGTACAACTGTTTAACATCGTTCCTTTTGTTGTTCGTTGCAAAGAATTCTTTTTCGCACTTTGCATTTTAAAAGTATTATTTATACTTAAATAATTGTAAAATGTAATTCCTTTATTTTTACACTTTGGTTCATTTGTTTTAAATTCATGTTTTGTTATTTGTTAAAATGAATAGATTGAAAAAAAAAAGCTTAAATTGAAATGGTTTTAGATTGATTGCTAAACATCATAAATTAGCGCAAACAAGAGAACAAAAGTAATGAAAATTGGTACCGTTGAGTGCCGGTATGGATTCCCAGCTACCGAGAATCAGAACCAAACTAGTGGCAAACGGCAAATGTGCCCATCCCTAAATTCTATGATTTAGAACGTACAGATGGCAACCCCAAGTCAACAAAAATAATACCTGCACCTCACATGCACTTTTATGTTGTGGGCTGCTGCTATTATTAGCACATGATGTCAAAATGAACAGCATGATGAGGACTGCTTATGGAGCAATTCTAATTGAGATTAAACTCCTTCCTTAATGTAAATGAAACTAACTAATCATGTAAAAAAAAAAAAATATATATATATATATA